GGGCCTCTCCGACGCACAAGGGAAATGGGATTTTTAAATGTTTCATCACATAGAAACAAATTCTATGCATTTACATACATGCATAGTGTGTAAATTCGTTATTGCAAGATACTTGGGAACAAACCCGGCAGACCCATACGCTACCAGCATTCTTCATTGATTCTCAGCAACACCAATTAAATTTAGACTTACTCAAGATAAGTTGAGCACGAATAAGTTCGGTGAAAAAACTGCACGCTACCGTATATCATTACTGCAAAAATATTTATTTGCAGGTTCTTTTTTATTAATTTACCTAAATTGGATACATCAGCAGCGTTCTGCTACCCCCATTCTAGTGGAAGCAAAAGGTAGCCATGTTTTCCTTGTCTTGTACCCATAACTTTTTTACAATTTTCGATGCATCGGCAGTGCGCTGCAACCCTATTCAGTATGATAATGACACAGTGGGAACATAAGCTAGCTATGTTTCCCAGTCATTCCATCACACAGGATGGGGCTCATACAAGGTGTTGAAATCCGTCATCCTGAGCTAGGAGACTTCAGTAGGGCAATGAGGATATCGTCAAGCATTTCAGCAAGGGTTCGTCAGGTACGACAGCTTCCAGCATAGCTGGAGTCACTCTTACATGGGAATTGCCCTATCTTGGGATAGTCTTTCCCATACACAATTCCACACATGGTGAGGGTAAGGGGAGAGAATGTCGGCGACGGACGTGGTGGTTTGGGAGAGACTGCTGGCTGACTCAAGACACTAACAAGGTTACCTGGAGGTTACCTGGAGGTTATTCCGGGGATCAACGCCCCCGCGGCCCGGTCCATGACCAGGCCTCCCGATGGATCAGGGCCTGATCAACTAGGCTGTTACTGCTGGCCGCACGCAGTCCAACGTACGAGCCACAGCCCGGCTGATCCGGCACTGACTAGGTATCTGTCCAGCTCTCTCTTGAAGGCAGCCAGGGGCTTATTGGCAATTCCCCTAATGCTTGATGGGAGGCTGTTGAACAGTTTTGGGCCCCGGACACTTATGGTGTTTTCCCTTAGTGTACCAATGGCGCCCCTACTTTTTATTGGGGGCATTTTGCATCGCCTGCCCAGTCTTTTACTTTCGTAGGGAGTGATTTCTGTGTGCAGATTTGGGACCATTCCTTCCAAGATTTTCCAAGTGTAGATTATGATATATCTCTCCCTCCTGCGTTCCAACGAGTACAAGTCAAGTGCTTCGAAGCGTTCCCAGTAGTTAAGGTGCTTGACAGAACTTATACGTGCAGTAAAGGATCTCTGTACACTCTCTAGATCTTCGATTTCACCTGCTTTGAATGGAGATGTTAATGTACAGCAGTATTCCAGCCTAGAGAGAACAAGTGATTTGAAAAGGATCATCATGGGCTTGGCATCTCTCGTTTTGAAAGTTCTCATTATCCATCCTATCATTTTCTTTGCACGTGCGATCGTGGCACTGTTGTGATCCTTGAAAGTGAGATCCTCAGACATTACTACTCCCAGGTCCCTTACATTAGTTTTCCGCTCTATTGTATGGCCGGAGTCAGTAGTATACTCTCTTCTAGTTATTATCTCCTCCAGTTTTCCATAACGGAGTAGTTGGAATTTGTCCTCATTGAACATCATATTGTTTACCGTTGCCCATTGGAAAACTGTTTATATCTTCTTGGAGATTAACCGCGTCCTCAGCAGATGACAGCCTCATGCAGATCCTAGTATCATCCGCAAAGGATGATACGGTGCTGTGGTGTATATCTCTGTTTTTGTCTGATATGAGGATAAGGAATAAGATGGGGGCGAGTACTGTGCCTTGTGGAACAGAGCTCTTCACTATGGCAGCCTCCGATTTAACTCTGTTGACCACTACTCTTTGTGTTCGATTTGTTAGGAAGTTGAAGATCCATCTCCCCACTTTCCCAGTTATTCCTTTAGCACGTATTTTATGGGCTATTACGCCATGATCGCATTTGTCAATTGCTTTTGCTAAGTCTGTGTATATTACATCTGCATTCTAATTTTCTTCCAGTGCATCCAAGGCCATGTCATAGTGATCCAGTAGTTGTGAGAGGCAGGAGCGACCTGCCCTGAACCCATGTTACCCTGGATTGTGCAGATTTTGGGAATCCAGGTGATTTGCAATCCTGCTTCTTAGCACACTTTCAAAGATTTTTATGATGTGGGACGTCAGAGCTATTGGTCTATAGTTCTTAGCTAATGCTTTGCTGCCACCTTTATGGAGTGGGGCTATATCCGTTGTTTTAAGTGACTGTGGAATTTCACCCATGTCCAAGCTCCTCCTCCATAGTGTACTTAGGGCACGCGAGAGGGGTTTCTTGCAGTTCTTAATGAAAACAGAGTTCCACGAGCCTGGGCCCGGGGCTGAGTGCATAGGCATGTTGTCAATGGCTTTTTCGAAATCTATCGGAGTTAGGGTAATGTCGGAAATCTGGCATACATTTATGGAGTTTTGAGGCTTATTCATGAAGAAATCATTTGGGTCGTCGATCCTCAAACCGAAGGGCTTGCTGAATATGCACGTCTCCTGCTAATCCTTTTACCTTTGTAAATTGTGAGTTCATTACCTTTGTAAATTGTGAGTTCATTACCTTTGTAAATTGCGAGTTCATTACCTCTGTAACTTCCTCAGTATCAAAACTTTGGAGTCCAGTCCCTGGACCAATTATGTACCTCTGTAATCTTTTGACTACCGCCCACAGGATGGGTATGGGGTGCATAATAAACATATTAAACTAAACTAACTGCTAATCCATGTCTATGTTAGGCTTTGTCTTTGTGTGTGTCTGCTTGCCTCTGTCTTTATTTCTGTCTCTCTTTTTCCCTCTATTTCTTTCCCTCTCCCTCCTTACCTCCCATCCCTCACCTCCCGCCCCCTCACCTCCCCCCCCTCACCTCCCCCGCTCGTCCCGCCCTCCCCTCCCTTCTTGTCACTCCGTCTTCCTAGCCCCCTCCCTTCCATCATTCCCCCACCCACCCCCTCTCGCGATCGTTGGACAGTATTCCAGTTGTGTAGGGGACATTTCAGGTTGTCCTATGGATGTTCCAGATTGTGTGCATCATGCAAGTTATGCTGTAGATTTTTTCAGGCTGCATTGTCGATGTTTTAATTGCGTTGTGGCTCTTACAAGTTGTGGGCCAGCGGGCCGCCAGCAGCAGCCCCCTTGACCAGACGATCCAAACCAAGGTCGTAATTTTTTTTATTGATGGTCCTGGTTTTGTTGATGACCCGGGTTCTGTTTGTGGTGGATCCTGGCTCTTTTGTAGTGGATTCTAGTTCTGTTGTGGAGGGTTCTGTAAGCACTGTGTATATTCCACCTTGTATTTTAGATTTTTATTTTTTTATTCATGAAGCTTCATATTGTATTGTTGATCTTCAAGGCTGTGCTGTGAAGGGTTCTAGTTGTCTTGTGAAGAGTTCTGATTGGCTTGTGAAGAGTTCTGGTTGTTTTATGAAGGGTTCTGATTGTGCTGTGAAGGGTTATGGTTGTGTTGTGAAGAGTTCTGATTGGCTTGTGAAGAGTTCTGGTTGTGTTGTGAAGTTGTGTTGTGTTGTGAAGGGTTCTGGTTGTGTTGTGAAGGGTTCTGGTTGTGTTGTGAAGGGTTCTGGTTGTGTTGTGAAGGGTTCTGATTGTGTTGTGAAGGGTTCTGGTTGTGTTGTGAAGGGTTCTGGTTGTGTTGTGAAGGGTTCTGGTTGTGTTGTGAAGGGTTCTGGTTGTGTTGTGAAGGGTTCTGGTTGTGTTGTGAAGGGTTCTGGTTGTGTTGTGAAGGGTTCTGGTTGTGTTGTGAAGGGTTCTGGTTGTGTTGTGAAGGGTTCTGGTTGTGTTGTGAAGGGTTCTGGTTGTGTTGTGAAGGGTTCTGGTTGTGTTGTGAAGGGTTCTGGTTGTGTTGTGAAGGGTTTTGGGTGTGTTATGGAGGGTTCTAGTTGTGTCATGGATCTTCCAAGTTGTGAGCAAAAATGGTTATAATAATAACCATAATTTTTAAAAGGGTGGACCGGTAAGCCAGCCTTGGTCACATGACCATAAGCTCCAATGGCGGGTCATCTAAGACCCATGTCAGGAAACGCTTGTCCTGTTTCCTGACAAATCTTACCTAACCTCTTGGTACAATACTTAATCACATCTTGTCCACTTACAGATACACTTTCCATCCACTTAAATGCACCCACATAAGTGCATCCAGTATGTCAAAGAAAATATTGGAGACAAACATAAAGAGTATTAAAGGTAATATTTCTTATATACTAATACTGAATGTATGTAAAGTATACAATTTTTTTTTTTACCATTATACTGTACAAGGTCACTGGGAAGACAGTGAAAGAAGCATTATTGGGAGGGTATCACAAATGATCTATGCTTCTAAGAGACTTGGGGGATACAAAATGTGCTTAAAACAGTAATCACAGTTGAAGGTATTCTATTGGACTTTCTTAGTTTGCCTCAGCTTTACTGAATCTTTTCATGTGACCATTCCCAGTCCTTGCTATCATCTAGGTTCAACCCCTTTTTGTCTTAATGGTCCTCAGATTTGTCTTCCCCCACAATAAAGATAAATATTCTCCATATTAACTCCCCCTTCTTAAGTGGATGGATAGGGTTAGCATCATCACAGTAACACAGTTATAAATTAGATCTTAACTTGGTGCATAAACTGGAGTGTACGAGTTAATAGGTGGGGTCAGGAGTTTTGAATTAGTCCCTGCAAGCACAGCAAGGTGAGTACTTATTGTAATATACTCTGTCAGAAGGATTTACTGTTATAGTTCAACTTATTTGATTGATTTTGTAAAGTGCATGACATATGCACATGTGCTTTACAAAAATACATACATGCATACAACATATACTTAAGGCAAGATACCAAAGCTTGCTTCTGCTTCTTAAATAGAGGTAATATCTGTACACTTAATATAAAATATGTAAAATGAAGATTGTGCTGTATAATTATGAATATAACAGTTGCCTCCTATATTTCAGAATGTGATCACTGCAAAAAAAGAAGAGAAAACAAAAGATGGCAGTGAAGGCAGCAAGGTGGTGCCACGTGTGCCACGAATGTCGCGAACGGTCAGCATGTGTGAGACTGGCACTGCCCAGACTGTTAGGTTGCGAGGGCCTACATGCTCTTGGCCTCGTGGCATCCTGAAGTGTCGCACCCGTTCCCTCAGTGAATCCCACATTGGCTCTTTCACTCCTGTGGCACCGTTGGAGCTTGAGAGTTCCTCCACTGACCTTAAGGTCTTGGAAGACAAACAGAGAGAATACAAGGAAGAAGGAGAAGAGAGCGTTGAAGAAAGCATCTCTTCCAGCTTGGGAGAAAAGAAAAGTGTCCGCTTTAATGAAGTGGTGTCTCGCCAACTGTTCCGCTCTAACTCCTCAATCTTGGGTCAGAGGGCCAAGAACCAGCGAAAGGCAATGAGGAAACGTAAGGGTCAGCAGCGCCGTGCTTCAGAAAGTGACAGGGAAAATGACCAAGGTCAGCAGTCTAGTGATCCACTTCCAGTTGCAGTCTCAAATTCCACTGACGAAGACACTGACGCCACCACCACTGACACCACAGAGGTTGATGATCTTGATGACATAAATCTTCATAGCATCAGCCTTGATGTTAAGAACAACAATAATGTCAATAACAGCAACAGTCATATTTATAATAGCAGTAATGCAAATAATCCAGAAAGTTCAAATCACAATGAGAAGGAGAACATCAATAACAACAAAAACATCATTGGTAATAACAGTGATGGCATTAACAACGAGAACAGTTATGATGGCTTTGTTGTGAAAACCAGCAAGAAGAAGAGGAAAAGTAAAAAGAACACCACTTTTGAGCCATCCAACAACTTTATTTTCCAGCTTGACATTGATAATTAAAAACTTTGGGTGAGAAACTGGTGAAGTTCTTGTTATGACTAACAAAATGTTCCAGATTTGTATTTGTTTAATTTTGATTGAAAAACTTTTGAGTTTGCTGCTCATAAATGATATGTTGTATATCTCAATATATACATGTATGATTTTACTGTATATTCATAGTACAGTGTTCCTTTTGCTAATTTTTTTTACACAACTTGCTGAAAAAAGTCCAGTGAATACCCATTATTTTTTGTTTTTTGTTTTACGGTATTTCCTAAAAATTATCACTGGGAGAACAGTTATTGGTAATACATATGACTTTTCTGTATTTGTCCTCAGTGCTGTCAGTACTGTTATGTTACCTTATATCTGTATTAATTTTAATTACAGTATACTGGTAATGATGTGATTAATTACCAAATCAATAATATTAGTACTCTTGAGTTCTGAATTTGAAAAGTAGAAATTTGTAATATAAGATGATTTTTCTCTACTGTCTAAGAGTTTTTTGTTCATTGCTTCACAGTTAGTATGAAGAGAATCTATTATTTCCTGTTTAAAGACACTAGTCTTATTTATTTGCTCATGGCTGTGTCATGTGCTACTTCCTTAGTCTATATAACTAAAAGCTATCAAGGCATGGTCTTAGGGTGATTATTTGTAGATAATGCCAAGAACATTTTTCTTTTTTGACAAAGGGTTTATTCGACTGTCATGAACTGAATAAGTTTTGTAGAGCTGTTATCAAAGTATTACGCACAGGAATTACTGTATTGTGAATGTTCGACCTGATCATGTCAGTTTGAAGATTGTCATGGATATTCTACATTGTCATGTGTTGACCTTAAAGACATTTCCTACCAGGCAGCCAACTATGAAAAAGCTTGTAGAATCTAATTTTATCAAAGAACTGTAAAAGCTGTCATAGATAGCCTATGATTTCAGTCCTTTTTGGACAGTTTGTTGAAATTAGTTCACCCACGAAAATTGTAGATGGCTTGCATAGTAATGGTTGACTTCGGATGTTATAGTAGATGGCCAGTATAATCACAATCAACCATGGGTGTTGCAGATAGATAATGTGGATGCACAGTCAACCATGGTTGTTTTAGATGGTCAGTGTGATCACAGTCTGTCATGGCTATTGCACATGATTATTATTTTCTCATAATCTACTCTGGATATTAAACATAGTTTATGTGATGGCAGTTTACCAGATGCTGTATGTTGTAAATGATCACAGTGATCTTACAACCATTAGTTTGAAAATGTTGAATGCATTGGTTTCATTTATTTTGTCTCTAGTAATGGTGTTAGTTATTAGACTTAATATGAAAATTTTGACTCTAAAATATAGTAATTGTGAAATGTGTTTTCATCATTAGAACTTAATATTCAATGAGTTGAAAAAGTTGCTTAGCAAATAAATCATATTACAAAGAAATTTTGTCTTTACAGTTAAGATAGTAATTTATTCAGTACTGAATTTTAATCATTGTGGGAAACCAGTTAAAAATATCTTACTAGGTAACTCAAGAGGGGCTTTCACTGAATATTTCTTGAAAATGTGTAATTATGATTTTTTTTTTTTTTTTTTTTTTACCAAGTATTACAGCACACATTTTGTTTTTGCAAAATATGAATAAGAACTTATACTGTAAATTCCTTTCCATGAAAGTGACCACATGGCATACATAAAAAAATAATGCTATTATGAAATATCATCTCTTAAATATACATTAACATATTAAGGGTCATCTTAGGAAAGGATGGAGGGAGGGGGTAAAGGATGTTTCGTGTGTAAGGGGGTTTCGACATCCAGCAGGCATGTGTTGAGTGTGTTAGATAGGAGTGAATGGAGGCAAATGGTTTTTGGGACTTGACGAGCTGTTGGAGTGTAAGTGGTGTAACATTTTGTGAAGGAATTCAGGGAAACTGGTTAGCTGGATTTGAGTCTTGGAGGTGGGAAGTACATTGCCTGCACTCTAAAGGAGGGCTGGGAATATTTGATACGTGAAGGATCATCTGAACTGTCATATCCATGCACCTCTGGCAAGACAGTGATAAGTGTGAATGGTGGTGAAAGTTTCTTTTTTGGGTCACCCTGCCTCAGTGGGAGATGGCCAGTGTGTTAAAAAATATACTAAGATCAATTGAAGTCCTGAGGGAAAAACATATACCAGTACTGTAATGTATATACAGTGTATTTATATATTAAAATCTGCTCATAATAATAGTCACTTAATCATAATTATACATTATAAAATTACACAAATTATTTTGAAATTAAGAATTAAATTTATTTTGTTTCATTAAAGCAATGTTCTTCATACATAATGAAGCTTTGGGGACTGTCACATCTGAGGGTCCTGGGGAATATTGTTCCCTTTTGTTAATCCACCACTGGATATATATAGTGTATTGGGATTGGACTGTATTATTTGTGTGTCTCAGGCTAAAATGCCCAAAGGTTAGAAAATACAGCATTTTGAACAAAATTGCATACTATAAGGAATAAAAACATCCAGAATTATTGCTCAGATTGAAATAAAATTGTTAATGGTGACTCGCACAAAGCACAGCCATATACTGTATATTAAATTGTACTAAGAATAAAAAACAAGAATGAAGAATAAAAAGGCACAATACCGTGGACTGGAACAATACACACAGCCCACACTTATGAGACTGAAACTTATGACGGCATTTCAGTTCAACGTGGACCATTAATTTTAGATTTTGTATAGTTTGTTGGTGCGTTGTTGTGCAATGTGTGACTCGCTAGTATAAGAAGTTAATATATATTACTGTAATTAGTGATTACTTATGATAATGAATTAAATTAGGATGCTTGTATTATCTCTTGACTGAATGAGCTGGCAGTAACCCAAGGGTTGCAATAAATCATAAACATATTTCCTGATATTTTTTTAAAATTGAATATTTTCAGTATGCCTTTGCACATTTTGACAAAACTCAGCTCAGCCAGATTCCCAATTGACAGTGGGAATATTAACATGATGTCCAGTAACAGCCAGGACAAAAAGTACGTAATTAAACCATAAAAACGCATATGATATGCACATGCAGTATAGTCATTCACTTTAAGCGATTTTTTATTTTCCTGTGTTCAGCAGTATTTTAACAAAATGTCACCATAATCATACATATTCCAGAAACATCTGAGAATGTCCCACTTAATGTATACAATCCATGTACAATTAAAGTATATGAAACTTAAATTGACTAATCCAGATTGTGATGGCCTTTACGGTGAAAGGTATATACATGGTTATATTTTCTCATGATGAGATCTATCACTGTTTTCACCCTCACTGTCAAAGTACAACTTAAGTACACCTAGCTTTCAGTGCTGTTGTTCTGCACAGTACAGTATTGTACCTGTGTAATAAAAAACTAAATAAATATATTTAATATTTAAACTGGGTTTCTTTATCAAACATAGTAATATAAATTTCATTGGTGCTGAGTCAGCTGAGAAACTTTGTAAGGGATAAGGCAATAAATATTATTTGGGCCACTAGGCCTGCTGCGTTGTTCCTCCAATCTTATGTATGTTAACTCTATTGAAGTAACTAATGGAATTACATTTATTCATAAATATATGCTTCAAAACTAAAGGCAATACATAAATTGACTTTGGTCACTCAGATACAGCTTCACAGGAGAGAAAATAAATCCCTTTCTATTACTGATAAAGCTTTGATTGGTTATTTTTTCCTTTGCTGTGAATATTTAATGCATTTTCTCTTACATTCGTGTAAGCTTACTAAAGCATACCCTTCAAGAGGGTGCCTTGATGCTGGTGAAGGGTTCTTCGTCAAAGGAATTGAAGCGACATTTCCTTTTGATCAAACAAGATTAGCTCTCATTTCCAAAGCACTGTATTACCACCTGTGGGTTTACCGCATGCTCGCAGGTATATCAAAACAATAGTGTAATTATCAAGGTACCAGACATTCCATACATGCTGTTTTCATTCTTAGTGGTAACTCTCACTTTTAAAGTGTTTTAACAATAGATCACCTAATCTTTCTATTTAACCAAGGAAGAGCAGCAGTTCCCATTATGTCGTAGCTTTTAGAAATCCTGGCTGTTGACGTTAAATCCTCAAAACATGCTCAGAGGACTGTCTTTGATACCAGTGAAGAGCTCTTTATCCAAGGAATTGAATCTGCTCTCCTCTTGGATCAAACCTGAATGCCTCCCACTCCCCCAGGTGCTGTATGACCCCTATGGGTTTAGTCCCCTCAAGGAAGGTTCCTTGATGTTGGTGAGGGGCTCTTGATTTAGGGAATTGGATCTGTGCTCCAGTTCCCCGAATTAAGCCTGAATGCTTTCCACATCCCCTCTCCCAGGCGCTGTATAATCCTCTGGGTTTAGCGCTTCCCCCTTGATTATAATAATAATAATATGGGTTTAGTGCTCCCCAATTGTAATAAAATGATAAATGCTCTTGAGAGCTGTGCTGGCTACATCCCTAGATCTGGTGCTAATGGGAGGATAGTGAAAAAAAACTGTATATTGGATCCTTGATAGATTATTCTGCACTGTTAATATGTAAGAGAAAAAAATCTCTTCAGCCATAGGTGTCATTATGAAGCAATGACCCTAGACTTATTCTTTTAGTAGTAGAATTAGCACTCCTCACAGCCCTTTCTAATTTCCTCTGTTATCCTGTTCACCCTTGCTGCTCTATGATCCTGCACTACCCCCTGCCCTGCTGCACTATATGATCCTCGTGGGTTTAGTGCTTCTTTTGATTATAATAATAATCAGTAGTAGAATGACTAAACTTAACATTGTACTGACAATAAAATGGTGAGAAATTAATCAAATGTTAAATGAAATCTTACTAAATGACTAGAGGTAAACATGGATCCAGTGTAGGCAAAATGATGTACACTGATTTTCTGCTGGGTTCTTTGACATTCTGGTGCTCAAGGTAATGAGGCTGCAAACTTTACATATCCCTGAGATCCAGTGCCTTCTAATTTTTCACAGTACCCTTCCAATGCCTCTTGAGATTGCTGGTTCAAGTTCATAGCCAACCAGTTGTTTTTAATAAAATTGCAGTTGTATTTTTGGCCTATCTTCGGCTAGCATTTTTACTGCTGAATTGTATCCCCTCAAGGAAGGTTCCTTGATGTTGGTGAGGGGCTCTTGATTTAGGGAATTGGATCTGTGCTCCAGTTCCCCGAATTAAGCCTGAATGCCTTCCACATCCCCCCCCCCTGGGCGCTGTATAATCCTCCGGGTTTAGCGCTTCCCCTTGATTATAATAATAATCTACAAGCTATACGAAAATTTAATACACCTCACCCCCTAGCTCTCCGTATCTAACTTCGGCTACGCCGCATCTCTACCAAGCATAAAGATATTGTTTTTTGTTGGGTCCCTGGTCATGTTGACGTACAGGGCAATGAACAGGCAGACACGGCTGTGTGGTCAGCAGTACATGACCTACCAGTTTCATATAGAGGTGTTCCATTTACCGTCTATTTTGCTGCAATAGCTACCCACCTTCACACCCGTTGGCAATAACGTTGGTCTAATCTGCTCGGTAACAAACTTCAGTCTATTAAACCGAGTACAGGTAACTGGCCGTCTTCTTGTCATCAGTGTCGAGGTTGGGAGACTACTCTCTCCTGTCTTCGCATTGGCCACACTCGTCTTACTCATGGGTATCTCATGGAAAAGTGCCCTGCTCCTCTCTGTGAGAAGTGTCAGGTTCCAGTGTCGGTAAGCCACATTCTGTTAGACTGCCCTCTCTATCAACGAGCACACAGAATTTACCTCCAACATCGTCTCCGCTCTCCTACTCTTTCTTTACCTTCCCTTCTTGCTGATGGACCCTCCTTGAGTCCTGATTCTCATTGACTTCTTGACAACGACTGATTTACTTCACAAACTCGGATTATGATACCTTTCACACTCCCCTCAGCCCTTTCTACCTCAATCTTTTGTTGCCCTCTACCCTTTCGCTATCCACTGACTCGCTGTTCTCCGTAACCTACTACTCATCCCTCTCCCTTTTGCCACCTGATACCCTCACTTCCTTCCTGCCCTGCAGCGCTGTATAGCCCTTGTGGTTTAGCGCTTCTTTTTTATTATAATAATAATGGCCATCCTCCTTTCATCGCTGTTTGTTATTTGCATTAGTACCCTCATGACTACATATTGAGATAGGGGCATGGGAACTCTTGAAGTTTGTCAGGTTTTATCCCTTCAAGGTATACTTGATGCAGATGAGGGATTCTTCATCTAAGGAATTAGACTTGTGCTCCCATTCTTTGGAATGAATCTGAATGCCTCCTATTTCCCCAGGAAACTGGGAGGCATTCAGGTGATGTATAACCTCTTTGGGTTAAGGGCTTCCCCCTGATTATTATTATTATTATCAAAAAGAAGCGCTAAGCCACAAGGGCTATACAGCGCTGCTTCCCCCTGATAATAATCATAATTGTCAGGTTTATCAAAGAGCACATAGGAATTTTCTGACTTCTCCTTCAGTGCCCTAAGAAAAGTGGTTGCTTGAATTTAACTTCAGTAAATGCAAGGTCATGAAGACTGGGGAAAGAGCAAGAAGACCACAAACAGGGGTATAGACTAGGGAGACAGAGGCAGCAAACTCTACTAAGGGACCTACAGGTGAGCATGTGCTGTATGACCCTTATGGGTTTAGCACTTGGTTATAATTATAATAATAAAGCTATCGGTATAGGTTCTGTAGACTGGTTTAAGTCCTACCTTAGCAACAGGAGACAAATAGTCAAAATCAACAAAACAGAATCAGAACCCCTGCCGATAACATGTGGAGTTCCCCAAGGTAGTATTCTGGGTCCCTTATTATTCTTATGTTATGTCAATGATATGCCTATCAGTGTCAAGTGTAAACTCCTACTGTATGCAGATGACAGTGCTCTGTTAGTGTCAGGTAAAGACCCACAAGATATTGCTAAAGTTTTAACACTGGAACTGGAGTCCTGCAGCAAATGGTTAGTAGACAACAAACTATCATTACACCTAGGGAAAAACTGAAGCCATTCTCTTTGGCACGAAACATAAACTGAGAAGGGTAAATAACTTTAATGTTCAATGTAATGGGGAGCCATCACTTTGGTTTCACCAGTAAAATTTTGGGAATCCCTTTGACCATGCATGTCAGGAGAATTGATAGGAAACAGTTGTAGTAAAGAAAGCGAATGCCAGACTGAAGTTCCTGTTATAGACAAGCACAGTGTCTACCTACTGAGGCTCGCAGGACCCTATGTCTAGCCTTATACAATGCCATATGGATTACGCTTGCTCTTCTTGGTACTCTGCCTTGACAAAAAAAACTGAAAGATAGACTGCAAATCACCCAGAACAAAATCGTAAGATTCATCCTGGGGCTGGGACCAAGAGAACATGTAGGCCAGGATGAATTACAGCAGTTGGATATGCTGAATGTTGAACACAGAGTAAAACAACTGAAGCTAAATCATGTTTATAAAATTGCTCACAAACAATGTCCAGAATATCTTGCTGTCAATTTTGTCAAGGTTGGGAACCAAAGCAATCATAGTACTAGGGGGAGAGAGCACAACTTTGTAGTACCCACAGTCATTGGCCAGGCTTCAAACACCTTTTATTGTACAGCAATAAAGGAATGGAACAGACTACCCGCACATGTCAAAGCCAGTCATAGCATGAACCAGTTCAAGAAGAGTGCCAAAAGGTGTCTGATGAATGTAGCTACAGAAAGGGAGGGGAATGATTTTCTATTTTTTATCTAACATACGTGTAAATTTTACCTTATTCCTAGTAATGACCCTCGTATTGTAGATAGTCTTAATGACCCTCGTGTAGTAGATAGTCTTTTTAGTATGATAATAAGATGTTATCTTCATTATAGAATAATAAGAAAATATTATAACCTTTATATTATAATAATAAGGTAAAAGGACCCCAATGGAAATAAGTCACTCTGTCTGACTTTTTTGGGTTATCCTAGGTTCTCTACACATATGCTGCTATGTATGATAATTCTATGTAACTGTATTTGTGTATACCTGAATAAACTTACTTACTTAACTCCATGAGCATAGTGCCCAGTATAACACCAGAGGCTCACATCTGCCAAATAACCTCTGCAGCCAATGCTCGTCTGGCAAATCTAGTACGTACAAAGTAGTCTTCTGGCATCTCAACAAAGTCACTGCCGGCCCTTTATACAACATACATTAAGCCCATCGTGGAGTCTGCAGCACCAGTATGAAACCAGCACCTGAAAAAGCATGCTAAGAATCTGAAGTGCAGAAGTTTGCAACAATGCTTGTTCCTTTACCGCTGTATGACCCTTACGGGTTTACAGCTTACCTTAATAATAATAATAATAATAATAATAATAATAATAATGCTCGTTCTGAGCTAATGGGCATGAGCTACGAGGGGCTAATGGAATTGGACCTAATGGCATTAGAGGACAGAACAGGGGAGACATAATAATAACATACAAAATACTCAGAAGAATTGATAAGGTAAACAGGGATAGCCTATTTGAGAGGTGAGAAACATGAACTCAGCGACACCGTTCAAAGTCACAGATGAGCAACAGGGAGTTATAAGAGCAGATACGATAGTGCCCACCAGGCTAAGAGTGGATCTGAAGAGTGGCAAGGGGCACGTCAGTACCCCTTGTCTTCTAATATGTTATTTTGTGCCTATAATCTACCGGTGGCCTGGTGGCTAAAGCTCCCGCTTCACACACGGAGGGCCCGGGTTCGATTCCCGGCGGGTGGAAACATTTCGACACGTTTCCTTACACCTGTTGTCCTGTTCACCTAGCAGCAAATAGGTACCTGGGTGTTAGTCGACTGGTGTGGGTCGCATCCTGGGGGACAAGATTAAGGACCCCAATGGAAATAAGTTAGACAGTCCTCGATGACGCACTGACTTTCTTGGGTTATCCTGGGTGGCTAACCCTCCGGGGTTAAAAATCCGAACGAAATCTTATCTTATCTGCTTTCGTAAGGTGAAGCCCAGGATCTTTCATTAATTCATGGTAAAACTTAACAAATCTTTGATGACAATTGTGTTGCAGAGGTGTGAGCACAACTCACACCTCTGCAACACAACTGTCATCAAAGATTTAGTTATACCATGAATTAAGGAAGGATCCTGGGCTTCACCTTACGAAAGAAAAGTAAATGCGATGGTAATTGTGGAAAAGGTAGATTATAAGGGTAAATCAACATGATATTAAAGAGACAGAGAAACTCAGGCGCCCCTCAGGAGGCAGTGCCAGGATCTGAGACTGGACCTCCCTCTCCTACCCTTCACACAAAGGAGCTGTGACTCGACCCCTGCAACCACATATAGGTGAGTACACACACGCACACAGGATCAAAATATTTGTGTTAATAATTATACAGCGCAGGGTACTACTACTACTACTACTACTAATAATAATAATAATAAATGGAAGCGCTAAACCCGTAAGAGGGTAGCAAGATATGCGCTCAATAACAAGTAATAACTTTAAATGCGATAGTCCTTAGCTAGGGATATAATGTTAATTAATGATTTTGTAAAGAAGACATGGAAGAAAAATAAATTATATACTTAATTATGCAAACTTAAGTTAGTTATTTAAGGATTTTTTTTCAAATAGACTAATGTATTAAATTCAGAGACTGAGATTCTTTATTTGAAATCACTAGATAGAAAATATACAATAATCTGAAAACACATAGGATGAACAGCATTTCGGGAATGTACGATTATTTTTTTTATACTTTATTTAAAAAGTTATGATTACTAAAAGCAAATGTGATAGTAAATGTTTTTGAGTAAGTAAATAAATAAGTAAATTTATTTAGGTATAGGTCCACATAAGTACAATTATCATATATATAGTAACATATGTGTAAATTATTAGGATAATAATAAAAAAAGTAGAAGTGATTTATTGAAATTAACCTAAAAACCCATACACCCGAGTTTAACTAGGAATATTACTTATTACAAAGTACAGTGTCTCCGTGTTCACGGCTAAAAATATATCTGTATACATCTAAGGATAAATAATAAAAAAAAATAATTGTAAAAGATGTATGTGTTTACAGTGAGCAGCAGACGACAACTGTGGTCACCGCAATGCAGTAGTTGCCAACCTCCTCCTTCCATGGCTGCAAATTTGCCTTAGCTGCAACCTTTTCTCTCGTTGGTGTATTTCCTGGAGGTTAGTGAGACTCGGCACGCCATCTGATCCCTGACTTTCAGTGCATCTTGAGCGGGTACGGCGTCAGAGATGGTGGGAACTCCGGGAGTGGGCGTGGTTACTACTGCCTGGTCGAAACTATTTTGTGCTTATTAATTCATGTCGCTGCTACTATCTTGCTCCTGTCTTCCAAATACTTAATTCTTATGGTAACAAAATCAAGAAATAACCTGAATTTTTGATTGGGAGAGTTCATGTTAATGTAATTTATCTTAGGGTAAAGAACAATTCAGATATTTTACTAAAATTAATTTTTTTATATTTTTCTCTTATGCAATATACAGATAATGTAATTTACATGTAATAAAATATTGATGGGCACAAAAGAAAGCTACTAGCATGCAGTGCATGAGGTTAAATGAGATTAAAATTATGCTTTAGGTGCTCTTAATTTTTTTTTTTTTTTTTTTTTTTGGGGGGGGGGGGCAAAAGTACACAATTGATACTCTGCTAATTTTAACCATTAATTATAGTCTGAATTGTGCTATATTACATTTCTTTTACAGTTGAGATATTTAATGGAAATGGTAAATAATGTAGCCTGACTTAATGAAACACCTAACCCAACCAAAAATAACCTAATGTAACTTAACATTACTTTCACCATCAGTATTGGCATATCTATTTACATTCATCCAGTATGTGATGCAACATTCCTAAGTTGCAAATGTGTTGCAAATCAAAATAAATGTTCATTTTTGCTACTGTCTCCCAAAATAACAGTTTCCACAAGAAATACTTATTCTGTGGTATATGTAGGTTGCATGTATTGTAAAATGTAAACTAATGTACATGTTTGCAGAGTAGTAATTATTAAGCTAAGTTCTTTCTGAAAAGTCTATAAAATCTTATGCAATATTATCTATTCATATTTAATTCTTAGTGATATGGGGTCTCCAGAGTATTGTTTTAATGTGTGTGGTTACTGCTGTCATGCATGTATTAATTTTTATAAGTATTAGTAAAAGTTAGGTGTTTTTTTCTTTCTTACATATTAAATATTTGATGCAGAGTGAGGCATTTAGATGGAGGAGATGAACCTCTGTCCAGCATTGTATCCAAACTACCCTACCCCTAATTTTGAAAGAACTAATAAAAATCACCATTGTTATATTGATGGTTTGTATGAGAGAGAGACAATGCAATACTCATTATATACAGCAAGGTATATACCCATTAGTAATATATAACTATAAAGGGATAAAATAAATTATTTAATATTGTCATAGCCAGTATCGATAACGCCCATTTATATATTCCAGACTAACAATGCTTGAAGTAACAAATTTACGAAATGGTGAGGTTCTCCCACATCGGCTGTGTCTTTTACGCGTGGTGGGAACACAGCCAGAAGCCACCTGTGCTGCTATCCACAACCAGAGTGACAACAGTAGAAATGGTGCATTATGGAAGATACATCACGGAGGATTTAATGCACTGGTTCCACTTGTTAAAGGGACTAATGATTTAAGAATTATCTGTGGAACTGAAGAAACTACAATACAGGTGGTATATAAACCTTTGGATATACCCCGGTTTATTCGTCTAGTTTACATTACATGTATGAATGAAGATAAGTTTCAGGGGCCAAAAGAGATGGAACGTTCTCCAAACACTGCAGTTCGGAAGATTCAGACTGGAGCCTTAGTTTTGCAGGCCTTTGTAGCAGAGACATTAGCAGCAGAAGGATTGGGTCGACGCACATTTCGTTTTGAATTAGATACGGAAGGAAATCCAATCGTTCATGTTATTCAGTTACCTCTAACTATACGGGAAGCACACAAATTCACAGAAGAGCGTTTGTGGGAAACTTCAGCTCTGCATATTCTTTCCTCTCATTTATCAGACAAAATGTGCAAGTATGTGGCATTCTTTGGTGGCACCAGGTTTTCAAATCCAGACAAAATATCACTCAAGAATGAGACAGAAATCATGGGCCTTACAAAAGGTCAGGTGTCACTTGGAGGTGGTGGTCTGGCTCTGGTTGGAACAGGAGCACTGTATTCATGGGCAACAGAAGTGGACCAAGTAATGGATGCAATGCAGGATCCTACACCTGTTGATTCTACATCACTGATGGATTTTAGTGGTGGAAGGTTTGTTTTTTTTCAACTTACTGGATTACATTTGTGATTTAATTAACTAGATGTAGTTACAGGAATAGAGCTGTGTTAGGGTGGCCCATTTTTTTAATTTATCATTTCAGGTACAGTGGACCCTCAGTTATTGGCCATAATCCGTTCCTGAAGGTTGGCTCAAAACCAAAATGGCCTAAAACTGAAATAATATTTCCCATAAGAATTAATGTAAATACAGTTAATCCATTCCAGACACCCAAAAATATTTACAAAAAAAAATTTTTTGTAAAGATTAATTATAGTCTTACAACAACATCCAGTATTGGGCCCCCTGCTTAGGTGGGATGGGACATGCACAGATGACAGCCAAGAAATGAGTGAGATACTAAAGTCCCAATATGACTCAGTGTTCAGCAAGCCACTGCCCAGACTAAGGGTCAGCAATCCAAATGAATTCTTTATGAATGAAACCCAAAATTTGGTCATCTCAAAAATATTGGATATTATCCTAACTCCACAAGACTTTGAAGAGGCAATAAATGACATGCCCATGCACTGTGCCTCAGGCCCAGACTCATAGAACTCCATATTCATCAAGAATTACAAGAAGCCCCCATTGTGTGCCTTCAGCATTTTATGAAGAGGGAGCATGGACACAGGGGTCATCCCACACACACTAAAAACAACAGACATAGCCCCACTCCACAAAGGTGGCAGTAAAGCAATTGCAAAGAACTACAGACCAGTAGCACTAACATCCCATATCATAAAAATCTTTGAGATGGTTCTAAGAAGCAAGATCGCCAACCACCTAGATACCCATCAGTTGCATAACACAGGGCAACACGGGTTTAGAGCAGGTCGTTCCTGCCTGTCCCAGCTACTGGGCCACTATGACAAGGTCCTGGATGCTGTAGAAGATAAACAAAATACAGATGTATTATACACAGACTTTGCAAAAGCTTTCGACAAGTGTGACCATGGTGTAATAGCTCACACAAAATGCGTGATAAAGGAATAGCAGGAAAAGTTGATAGATGGATCTGTAACTTCCTGACAAATAGATCACAAAGAGTAATAGTAAACAGAGTAAAGTCCCAGGCAGTTACGGTAAAAAGATCTGCTCCACAAGGCACAGTACTTGCTCCCATTCTATTCCTCATCCTCATTTCTGACATAGAGATGCAAGCCATAGCTCCATGTCTTCCTTTGTGGATGACACCCGGATTACTTGGAGTGATAATGTCAGAGGATCTCGCCTTCAAAGACCACAAAAATGTATCTACCTCATCTGCTTGGAAATGATAGGATGGATAATGAGAACCTTCAAAACTAGAGATGCAAACCTATGATGATTCTCTTCAAATCACTTGTGCTCTCTAGGCTGGAATACTACTGTACACTAATGGCCCCCTTCAAGGCTGGCGACATTGCAGACCTGGAGAGTGTACAAAGAACTTTCATGGCACACACAAGTACGATAAGGCACCTAAATTACTGGGAACGGTTGAAGGTCATTGATCTATATTCCTTGGAATGCAAGTGAAAGAGACTCGTGATAATATACACTTGGAAGGTCCTGGAGGGATTGTTACCAAACCTGCAAACGAAAATCACCTCCTATGAAACCAAAAGACTTGGCAGGAGATGCAACATTCCCCCGATGAAAAGCAGGGGCGCTAAGAGTACATTGAGAGACAAGACAATAAGGGTCCAGGGCTCAAAACTGTTCAACTGCCTCCCTGCATACATAAGGGGGATTACCAATAGACCCCTGGCTGTCATTAAGAAGGCACTGGACAGGCACCTAAAGTCAGTATCTTACCAACTGGGCTGTAGTTCATGTGTCAGCTTGCATGCAGCTAGCAGTAACAGCCTGGCTGATCAGACCCTGATCCACCATGAGGCCTGGTCTCAGACTGAGCCGTGGGGGCGTTGACCCCTGAAACCCTCTCCAGGTAAACAAAACAATGAGAACTAAATCAAATAAATACATAAACAATTAAATCACTATTACGTACCTTTATTGAAGACTCTTGTTGGCGTATGGAAGATAGGGAGGAGGAGAGGTGGAGGATTTGTTTGGAAGGGGAATCCCCCTCCATAAGGACTTTGGGTATCAAAGCCCTCTGGGGTTACTTCCCCTCTTTGTTTTCTAATGCCACTAGGACCAGCTTGAGAGTCACTGGACCCCTGTCACACTAAAAATCTGTCCAGAGAGCTCTGTTTCTTGTGTGTATCTAAGATTTCTCTGAAGTGGGACAAGGTTTTGTCACTGAACATGCTGCAGATATGGCTTGTTTCAGCTTGGTCAAGGTGATATTTTTCAACAAATGTTTGTAACTCATTCCACTTTGCACACATGTTCTTAATCACTGAAGAAGGCACCTTCTTCTCTCTCTCTTCCTCCTCCTCTGAAGCAATTTCTTCATCTACAGTCTGTTGCTGTTCCAGCTGAAGGTCTTGCAGCTTTTCAGTGGTTAGCTCTTCCCTGTGGTCCTCCACCAACTCTTCCACATCCTCGCCACTAACCTCCAACCCCGGGGACTTCCCGAAAGACACGATAGCTTCCACAACAGGCATAGGATCCTCAGGGTCATCCCCAAACCCTTCAAAATCCCTCTCTTGGACACAATCTGGCTACAATCTGCCAAGCCTTACCTACAATGCTTATGCAGTTGTAGATATTGAAGTGATTCCTCCAGAACTCTCTCTTAGGGTTAAGTCAGTGTCCGAGGTCACCTCAAAGCAACTTTGGAACACTGCTTTGGTGTAGTGTTTTTTGAAGTTTGAAATGACCTGCTGGTCCATGGGCTGAATGAGAGGAGCATGTTAGGAGGCAAGAACTTCACTGTTATAAAGCGGAAGTCCCTCAACACTTGGTCTTCCAAGTCTGGAGGATGAGCAGGAGCATTGTCCAGTACCAGGAGGCACTGGGGCCAAACACATCATTGACCCACTCTTTGAAAATGTGCTGTGTGACCCATGCCTTATTATTAGCTTTCCACATCACACACAATCTATTCTTGACGACATTGTTTTTCTTGAACACACTGGGATTTTTCAGAGTGATACACCAGTAAAGGCTTCACTTTGAAATCCCCCACTAACATTACCACAGAACAAAAGAGTAAGCCTGTCTTTCATAGGCTTGTATCCTGGCAGTGCCTTTTCCTCCTGTGTAATTGTAGGTCCTCTTTGGCATTTTCTTCCAAAAAAGGCCTGTTTCGTCACAATTGAACACTCGTTGGGGGAGGAATCCTTCAGCTTCTATGTACCCCTTGAATTCCTGCACAAATTTTTCAGCCGCACATTTGTCAGAACTTGCAGCCTCATCATGCCTTACCACACTGTGTATGCCACTATGCTTCTTAAATCTCTCAAACCAGCCTTTGCCGGCCCTAAATTCACTAACAGCAGCACTTGTTCCAGGCATTTTCTTTCGAAGATCCGGATGCAGCTGCCCTGCCTTCTCACAAATAATCGACTCCACAACACTATCTCCTGCTAATTGCTTTTCAATGATCCACAACAACAACAACATCTCCATATCTTCCATTATCGGTGACCTTTGTTTGGTTAGTACATTTACCCCTTTCGCAACATTAGCTTCCTTGATTTGTACTTTCTTTGCCAGGATAGAAGTGATTGTTGATTTGTTTTTTCCCATACATCCTGGCAAGTTCTATCACTAGAAAACCACTCTCATATTTTTCAACAACTTCTTTCTTAAATTCCATCATGTTCTCACTTTCTTTACCAAAGGAACTTTATTAGGAACTTTTTCTTGGGGCCATGGTTACTTATTTCGTGGTTACACTTAATCGATAACCACAAAAAACAATGGATTATAGCCAGATGTTTGGATGAATGAGCAGAAGCTTCCTCCCACGCCCAAAGACAAAGCCATACTGATGCATGAGCGGCTGGTGGCGGTGGGTTGACGTGTCCCATACGGCCGATAACCGGAAGCCGAAAAACCGGCCGTTAAGTGAGTTGGCCAATGAGCGGAACTACCGAAAACCGAGGGTCCACTGTATATATTTGTTAAATTTTTTGTTGTAACACACACTACCTCTTTGATTTTATCCCTGCTTCAATTGTGGTATATCCTCATAAATCAAAATTTTCAATTCCTGATATTCATTTTGCTGCACTTTTGAAAGTTTTGTTTTTTATTGTTTATTTAGTTGTGGGAAAAATACAGTGCCCCATGCTTTTAGAGATGTTAATTCCATGTAGGCACTGCATATTCCATTGTGGACTTCACATAAATGATGATTATAACCCTGAATGATACTTGTTTCTTAGGTTCCTGGAAGGCATTATATATGTATCAGCCCTAGTCTGTGTATGTAAACTTCCAGTGATGCATTTTCATCTACCCATAGATCCTTATTTTATACACCCTTATTTATACACCCTCAAAATTATCCTATTTTGCTCCATCCTCTCTAAATGCCCAAACCACCTCAACAATCCCTCCTCAGCCCTCTGAATAATACTTTTAGTAACTCCACACCTCCTAATTTCCACACTATGAATTCGCTGCATAATATTTATGCCACAACATTAGACACAACATTTCCACTGCCTCCAGCCTCCTCCTTGCTGCAACATTCATAACCCGTGCTTAACACCCATATAAGAGTGTTGGTACCACTGTACTCTCATACATTCCTGTCTTTGCCTCCATGGATATTGTTCTTTGTCTCCACAGATACTTTAGTGCACCACCCATCTTTGTTCCCTCATCAGTTCTATGGTTTACCTCATCCTTCATAAAGCCATCTGCTGGCAAGTCTACTCCCAAACATTTGAACACATTCACTTTTTACCTACTCCCTCTCTCCAATCTGATATCCAGTTTTTCTTTACCTAATTCATTTGATACCCTCATCATCTTACTCTTATCTTATTCTAAAGCCTTCTTGTTCATCTACAATCCTGCCCTAAATAAAATTATATATATATATATATATATATATATATTGTTGAGGTGGTTCGGACATGTAGAG